GACCGTGAGCGTGAGGTCTTTCTGGAGCTCTCCTTCGAACCACGTGGCGATGCCGTCGGTTGACCCAATGTAGAGGAGATCGTCCACGTAGACGATCAGGAGAACGTAGTCGCTTCCCTTAGTGAGGCGGTACATGCCTTGGTCGTGAGGTAGTTGACTAAAGCCGATGCGGATGAGACGGGCGTGCAGGTACTGCTGCCACAGTCGCGGTGCCTGCTTGATCCCGTAGAGCGACTTAAGTAGTTGACAGATTCGGTTGGGTTCGCCGTGGGAACCGTGCGGGAGCTCGACGTAGATTTCTGCATCCACAGGTGCGTAGAGGAAGGCATTCGCGACGTCGATCTGCCGTAACTTCTTCTTCTTCATGGCGGCAATGGCGAGGAGAATTCGGAGTGACGTGTGGCGGCTGACTGGAGCAAAGGTCTCGGTGAAGTCTCGTCCTTGCTCTTGGTCGAATCCACGTACGACCCAGCGTGCTTTGAATTTTTCGATCGTGCCGTCTGCTTTCGTCTTGATGCGGAAGACCCATTTCCCGGTAAGGATGGTTTTGTTCCGTGCCACGCTTACGGGAACAACCTTCCAAGTGTTGCGTTCCTCTAATGCCTTCAGTTCTCTATCCATGGCTTCACGCCATTTCTCCCTGTGTTCCCCCCCCAGAGCCTGCTGAACCGTTGCAGGCTCCTTAGGAAACGAGCTGCGTGTGTTCCCGTGGACTGCGGTGACGAGGCCGAGGATTTGCAGCCCAGTCTGTGAGTATCGAGGGAGTTCTGGATCCTCGGGATAAGCTGCTTCGTCTCCCGTTTCTGGGTCGGGCATGAAATTTGGCCCTACCCTTTCTGCTTCGTTGGTGTTGACTGTCACAGGTGTTACGTAACCATCGTCGGCGAAACGGTAGAAGATTTCGGCGTTGTTACTGTCGCGAGGATTATCCTCATCCATGGGCACGTCGACGGAGCAGTATGGGAGAGGTCCGGCTTCTTCTGAGGCGTTGTCGACGTTCTGTTCATCCCAGTCTGCTTCGTCCGCTGCTGACGCGAAGGCTCGGTCACCACGAAAACCACTGGTGAGGTCCCGATTCTCGTGCAAGTTGGCGAGGTACGTCTGAAAGGTGAGTCTTTCGTAGAAGATCACGTCACGTGCTGCTACTGTTTCCTTTGTGTGGACGTCGAAGATTTTCCATGCGTTGTAATTTTTCTCGGTGCCGAGGTGTAGTCCCCACTGTGCCCGTTGCGAAAATCTTCCCGCTCGTGCTTCTGGGGGTCTGTACTGTACCATGCACCCGAAAACTCGTAACATTTTCGTGCTGCCCTGCTTCCCTGTCCACAGCAGATGCGGTGATGCGTTGTTCGGGAGTGACGACGACGACAACAAGTTGTGTAGCATGACAGCGTGGTCCATTGCTGCTGGCCACTGGTGGTTGGGTAGCCGCATGCCACGTAATAGTTTGCGCATGCTGTTCTGCAGGGTCCTGTTCAGTCGTTCTGCAACACCTTGCTGCTGATGTGCGTAAGGAAGGGAGAAGAGTTGCTTGATCCCCCTTTCCGCCAAGAACTGCTTGAAGCGGTGAGAGGTGTACTCGCCACCTCCGTCTGACTGGAATTTTTTCAGTTGTGTTCCAGACTCTCTCTCTGCTATCGGTAGCCAGGCGGCGAATGCTGCGAGCGCCATGTCGCGGCTGGGTAGGTTGCGATGCCAGACGTATCGAGTGGCGGCGTCGATGAAGGTGATGGTGTAGTTGTAGTTGACTTGTCCTGGCTCGCGATTGTAGAGGATGTCGCTGTAGACTTTTTCGAGTGGTGCGTACGCTGGAGCGCTCGGGTTGTGATGTGAAGCAAACGGTCGATGAGGTAAGTCAGCTTCGGGACATATAAGGCAAGTCCCTCGTGCCTTCTGGAGTTCTCTGCCATCGGGTAGAAGTAGAGAATCTTTGTCAAGGACTCCTGCTCTTATCGTGTTATTCAAAACCGTGTTACTTGGATGTCCTGTTCGTGCGTGCCAGATCTCTTCAGAGGCACGGTGTCCAGGTGAACGCTGATATGCGTCGGAGTCGGAGTAAAAGCTGGCGACGAGGTTGGCGCTTCGGTGGACTTCACGTTGAGTCGGATTCAGCTGTTTCGCGGGTGTTGGTGGTGCTTCGTCGACTATGACTGGTGTCGTTGTTCCTGCTGCTGCTGATGTTGTTGCTGCTGCCGATGTTGTTACTGCTGCTGATGTTGTTGCTGCTGCCGATGTTGTTACTGCTGCTGATGTTGTTGCTGCTGCCGATGTTGTTACTGCTGCTGATGTTGTTGCTGCTGCCGATGTTGTTACTGCTGCTGATGTTGTTGCTGCTGCCGATGTTGTTACTGCTGCCGATTGTCGAATTGTTGCTAATGCTCGTGTTCGTTCTGCTTCAGGAATGGTGTGCGAGTACCAGAAGCCTCCTGGGCTGAAGTCGGGGTCGAGATCCGGAGGGTGTGTCCAGTCAGTGAAATTCACGATGGCGTCGCTGTCTGCAGTGCCCAGGTCAGGAACGAAGTCGAGGACGAAGACGTTGTTCTTCAGCACTGCTTTCCCGATGTAGAGACCGCCTCTCCCGTGGTAAAGTTTGAACTCCTGGGTCGTGCTGTCGGCTTCCAGATGAATTCCTTTCGCCATCAACTGGCTAACGCTCAGTAAGTTGTAGCCGAGTCCTTCAGCGATGAGTACCTTAGACATGTGCAGTATGACATTTGTTTCTCTTGACTGAAGCTGTACCACTCCTTGTCTTCGTGTGCGCAGGTTTTGGTTGTTGGCAACCGTGATGATCACTTCCCGTTGGAGTCGATGTTCGCGTTGTACGAAACGCCCGGACGAGCACATGTGTTGCCCGCAGCAACTGTCCAAGAACCAGGTGTCTTGGCCGGACGGTTCACTTTGAGCGATGGCGGCGTACGTTGGATTCGGCTGGAGTAGCTCACGGCGAGGCGTTCTGTTGTCAAGCTCTTCTTCCGGTGAGTAGTGTGGTGGTGATTCGGTTGTACATGAATCGGTTATCTTCGTCATGCAGTTGATTATATTTCTTGCTCCTTGTGCAGGTTGTCCGGGTGAAGTCGTTGAAGCTTGAATAGTGGTCGTCGCACTTGCTTGTGTTGAAGCCATTTGGGAGCTTGAAGGTCGAAGTTGTCGCTGTGGTGCCGTTGATTGCTGACGATTCGGGCAGTGTGTGCGCGGGTGCCCTGAAGTCTTGCAGATGTGGCAGAAGGGAGGTACTATCTTCGGTTGCTGCTGTCGGTTGTTATAATTGCTGTGTCGTCGTTGAGTGTGGAATGCGAACTCTGATACTGTCGTTTTCTTCCTGTGTCGTTCTTCCTGCAGGTCCATATCTTGCTGCTCGGCATGTATTTCGGCGCAGAGTGCAGCTTCAGAGATTCTTCCGTGGGCTCGAAGAATGGCTTTGGTGGCGCGCCACTGAGGACCAAGCCCACCAATGATGACTGTCACGAAGGCGTCTTCAGAGATTGACCCTCCGCATCGAAGCAGCTTGTCGCGCAGTTCGCGACATCGGCTGATATACGCCAGTCCTTTTTCTCCTGGTTTCATTTCGACTGTCGTCAACTGCGCCATTAACCTGCTCTGGTTTACACTGTCTGTTGCTTGATACAGGTTCTTCAGATGGCTGTACGCGAGCTCCGCCGAGTTGCCGAAGGTCCGGTAAGAGCGAATGTTCTGCTGCTGAGTTGGTGTCACATTCCTCAATAGGATTGTATACGCCATCATTGATTGATACGTATACTGCTGCTTTTCATATTGTGTCCCGTTGGCTGGATACTGCAGGGACCCGTCGAAGAAGCCGAGTATCTGCGCGCCCTCCATCATCAGCTCGAATTCAAAGGACCAGGTAAAGAAGTCTTTGCCGTCGAAGGGTCTTGACGTTTGCAGTTTTAAGACGTGTGCAAACTGCGACTGAACTTGAAGTGCGTCCAGTGGTCTTTCTTGTCCAGGTGAAGGTTGCGGGTGGGGCACGAAGCTGATTGACCCGCGCTCGTACGGAGCAAAGGTAGGTTGCTGCTGCTGGTTTCCTCGCGCATATGACGACCCATCAAGACTCATGGGTGTCGCTCCGTTGTTGCTGTTGTGTGTTTGTGCAGGTCCCGACTGCTGGTGTTGTTCGTAGAAGGACATGAAGGAGAAAAATTTCTCCATCATGTTCTGGTCAAAGTCCGAAGGGTGGTTCATGGGGGTCTCGGTTGACGTTCCTCTTGGTCTTGTTGCCGTGCCTTCTTCTGTCTGCAGGCCAAAGGCTGACGGTGGAGTAGGATTAGTGCCCGAGGAGCCATTAGGGGAGCTCCTTTCCTTGTTTGTTGCCATGTCTTGTAATGATATTGAAAAAAGAGTAGAGTTTCCCTTGTCTGCTCTCATACCATGTTGGGCTGAGATAGCCCCTTAGGATCTTTGCAAGGGATAACTCTAGGTGAAGTAGTTGTAACAGCGGAAGCGTTTAGTGAAGAATTTGAACCGACCTTGCACTGGTGTGTGAGAGCAAAGTTGATTGAATTAAACAAGCAAATACAAGGATTTATATAAGAGTACAGGGAATAGATAACTGTATTGCTGTTGCGGTTCGATATAGCGCGACTCGGGCAACTGCTCTGTAACGAGTCAGTTGTGTGTCCTTAACTGTCGCGCTGTAATTGTCGAGTCAAAGGTCAGCGACCTTTGACTTTCTCGTAACCTCCAGGCGGTTACCCTAACCTCCGAGGTTGACTCGATGCTTCGATTGGGACTGCTTCGCTTGGTACCTTGGATTTTGATACGACAGAAGCGCACTTAGGACTTATTGTTTCCAACAATTTCAAGCTACAGTAATAACCTTGGCAACAGTTCCACCTAGTGTTATATGCGCATGTGCATGCATGCGCTGCGCAATCTGATGTCTGACTAGCAGTAGTATTCAGCAGCAAACAGTTCTGCTGGTATGTGATGTGAAAGCCTACACAAAAACTGAGATCCCAGGTTCAATTCCAGTGAAGAGGCTATATTCAGTCAATGTCCATACCAGCTGCTGCTGGGTGCTGCTCTGACGACAACTGTAATTGCAAGAGAAGAAATTCAGAATAACAGGGAAAGTACATTGAATGAGAAACATTATTGCAGTCTGTTACAAAAGAAAAGCAGCAGGCACAAAACGCCTCTCACAATCAGCAAAATCTCTTGAAATAACCATTATGGTACTTAAACTTCAGTGCAGGAGGCTACAGGTCGCCCAGAATGCTGCTCACCGAGGTGTCATCATGCACGCGCCAGATGGTCTCTCCCAGCAGATTGGCCACCGACAGCACGGTCAGCTGCGGGAAAAGTTTATCCTCAGTCAGCGGAATCGTGTTTGTGACTATCACCTCCTGGAACAACCCGCTGGACAGCCGCTCAATGGCAGGAGGGCTGGTGGGGGATGGGAACAAAAAAAAAGCCAAGGAATGGTACAGGATGTGTGAGATGTATTCTCTTTTGGTGCAGGGGTTGAGGGGAGTTAGATAAAGTCACCCTAATTTGATTAGTTGATGATTGGGGAGCTGGCGGGGGGGGTGAAATTGGGCGATGGGAGGCTGAAGTGTTTGGTAAAATGGGTTGGGGGTTAATATGTGGTTCTGGTGGTTCGTTGAATCAGAATGTCTATTACAAACGCCTTCTGTCCCTGTGCATTTAGTGCGCAAGTAACTGGTGGGTGAAATTTCACACATTCACAAGACCCATAGCACTCACCTGAAGACAGCATGAGTGCAGCATGCGTAGACCTCACTGGCCCCCTCTTCGTGCAGCAGAGCAGCGCCTTTAGCAATGGTGCCGGCCGTGTCGATCATATCATCCACCATCACCGCCACCTTGCCCTTCACGTCTCCGATGAGGTTCATCACCTGATGGGCGCATGTGAGGAGTTGAGAGGGAGGAGTTGAGAAAGAAAAGATGAGAGGGACGAATCGAGAGGGAATTGAGAATAAGCGCGGAATTGAGAATAAGCGCCTTCGGCAATTGTGCCGGCCGTGTTGATCATATCGTCCACCATCACTGCCACCTTGCCTTTGACACTCCAATCAGGCTCACGACCTGATGGGCAGAAGGGGACAAAGGGATGGAGGAAGAAGCTGATAGGGAAGGGGGGTAAGCGCCTTCAGCAGCCGTGCCGGCCGTGTCGATCATATCATCCACCATCACCGCCACCTTGCCCTTCACGTCTCTGATCAGGTTCATCACCTGATGGGCAAAAGGGGGCAACGGGATGGTTGGAGAAGTTGAGAGGGAAGGGGGGTAATAAGCCTTAGCAATGGTGCCGGCTGTGTCAATCATATCATCCACCATCACCGCTACCTAGCCCTTCACGTCTCCGATCAGGTTCATCACCTGATGCAGGGAAGCACGGGCGGAGGGGGGAGGGGGTAAGTGAATGTTGTGTGTGGGGTTGTTTAGTGCATGCATGCAATGGGGGGAAGTGGGGCTGGAGCTTTGAGTGCGTGCGAGGCTTCCCCCGCCTGTCAACCATAACACCCCACGATCATAACCCCCTGCATCACCTCCTATCCTATCACTGCTTCTTCCCCTCCGCTTCAATGAACTCCCCCAGCCCTGCTCGCTCACATCTCTCACCTCGGCAACAATATGGGTCTGCCTCCTCTTGTCCACAATCGCCAGAGAGGCATCTCCTCTTATCCGACAGGCGCTTGGCGAAGGCGAGAGGAGAATGTTTCCCTTGCCCGTCTACCTTGCTCCCCTCTCTCCATCTCACCTCTGCCACGTTGTGGCTCTGCCGCCTCTTGTCCACAATCGCCAGGGGAGCGTAGCGTCCGGCAGGCGCTTGGCAAAGGCCCTTGCCCGAGCCACACCCCCCACTCGGGCCCCACCCATCCAATACCCTCACAACCCCTTCCCTCCACCCTCTCACCTTTGCGACATTGTGGCTCCACCTCATCTTGTCCACAATCCCAAGGGGAGCGTGGGACAGGCGCTTGGCAAAGGCCTTTCCTCGAGCCAGACCCCCTCTCGGCTCCACCCAGCCCTACCCAGCAACCCCTCCCTCTCTCCATCTCACCTCTGCCACGTTGTGGCTCTGCCGCCTCTTGTCCACAATCGCCAGAGGAGCATCAGACAGGCGCTTGGCGAAGGCCCTGGCCCGGGCCACGCCCCCCACGTCTGGAGAGACGACGACCAGATCGTTTGAAGAGAGCATCTTGCTGGCGAGGTAGTCGAGGATGACAGGCTGGGGTGGGGTGGGGTGGGGTGGGGTGGGGTGGGGTGGGGAAGGGGGGAGGAGGGGCACAAGGGCTTGAGTTGGGGCACAAGGGCTTGAGTTGGGGCACAAGGGCTTGAGTTGGGGCACAAGGGCTTGAGTTGGGGCACAAGGGCTTGAGTTGGGGCACAAGGGCTTGGATTTCAGGCCCTCGGTTGAGAAGGGGGAAACGTGGGAGGGGGGATAGGCCACAGGGGCATGGCTATCAAAGCCTGGCGACCTGCTCTCGGGGCAGAGCATGGGGTACTTTGATATCCCCGTCGACCACGTGTATGGGCAGGTGAGGGTGATTCTAGGGGGGTGTGATTGTACCGATCTGGGGGATAGGCGCTGGTTACGCTGGTGTGCGACCTGCCCTCGGGGCAGAGCATAGAGTGCGTGTGCGTTGATAGCCATGCCAATCCCTACAAATATAGAGTGCGTGTGCGTTCACCTGCAACCGGGCCCACTGTCCCTTTCACCTGCAACCGGGCCCTCTGTCCCTTTCACCTGCAACCGGGCCCTCTGTCCCTTTCACCTGCAACCGGGCCCACTGTCCCTTTCACCTGCAACCGGGCCCACTGTCACTTTCACCTGCAACCGGGCCCACTGTCTCTTTCACCTGCAACCGGGCCCACTGTCCCTTTCACCTGCAACCGGGCCCACTGTCTCTTTCACCTGCAACCGGGCCCACTGTCCCTTTCACCTGCAACCGGGCTCACTGTCTCTTTCACCTGCAACCGGGCCCTCTGTCCCTTTCACCTGCAACCGGGCCCTCTGTCCCTTTCACCTGCAACCGGGCCCACTGTCCCTTTCACCTGCAACCGGGCCCACTGTCCCTTTCACCTGCAACCGGGCCCACTGTCTCTTTCACCTGCAACCGGGCCCACTGTCCCTTTCACCTGCAACCGGGCCCACTGTCCCTTTCACCTGCAACCGGGCCCACTGTCCCTTTCACCTGCAACCAGGCCCACTGTCCCTTTCACCTGCAACCGGGCCCTCTGTCCCTTTCACCTGCAACCGGGCCCACTGTCCCTTTCACCTGCAACCGGGCCCACTGTCTCTTTCACCAGCAACCGGGCCCACTGTCCCTTTCACCTGCAACCGGGCCCACTGTCTCTTTCACCTGCAACCGGGCCCACTGTCCCTTTCACCTGCAACCGGGCCCACTGTCTCTTTCACCTGCAACCGGGCCCACTGTCACTTTCACCTGCCCGAACACACCTTCCCATAGACCTGGTCGACGGGGATATCAAAGTACCCGTGCTCTGCCCCGAGTGTACGTCGCAAGTCCCCCTCTCTTCTCCCTTGCATGCACCATACAATCATCCGCACCTGCCCATATGCTGTTTCTTCCCTCACCTCCCTGTACCCACCTGCCCATACACATGGTCGACGGGGATGTCAAAGTAACCCATGCTCTGCCCCGAGTGCAGGTCGCATGCCAAGACACGGTTAGCGCCCGCCTCCGTGATCAGATTCGCCACCAGCTTCGCCGCTATGGACTCGCGGCCTTGGGTCTGATGGGGAGGAGAGGGGTGTGGGGGTATGGTTATGGGGGGAAGAACACAGATCGGTTGAGAGGTAACCACAAGCTGGGGAGAAGAACACAGATCGGTTGAGAGGTAACCACAAGCTGGGGAGAAGAGCAAGCAAAACCAGCACACGGTTCTCTCGCCTCCGTGATGAGATTCGCCACCAGCTTTGCTGCTGTCGACTCGCGGCCTTGGGTCTGGGAAGGGCGGGGATGTGGGGAGAAAAACACAGATCGGTTAAGGGGAAGAACAGGGGAGAGGGGCTAAGAGGCCAGCACGCGGTTCTCTCGCCTCCGTGATGAGATTCGCCACCAGCTTTGCTGCTGTCGACACGCGTCGATCATGACGAGCAGCTCCATGAGGTTCTCGTTCGCCGGGGGGGGGAGGGGGAAGCGGGGGTGGTGGTGGGAGAGATTGGGGGTGGGGGGGGGGGGGGGGAGGAGAGGAGGATGCGGGGGGGGAGGAAGCGCACCTTGCGGTCGGCGCGAGCGTAGCCAAAATACGGAATCACGGCAGTTATCGTTTTGGCGGACGCACGGCGGCACGCGTCGATCATGACGAGCAGCTCCATGCGGTTCTCGTTGGCCGGCGGGCACGTGGTGGGGGGAGGCGGGGAGAGGAGGAGGGGGGAGTGGGGCGGGAGAAGAGAGGGAAGGAAGCGTACCTTTCTGTCGGCGCGAGCATAACCAAAATAGGGGATGACGGCCGTGATGGTCTTGGCGGACGCCCTCCGACACGCGTCGATCATGGCGAGCAGCTCCATGAGGTTCTTTTGAGTCGACTCTTGAGTCGACTTTTGAGTCGACTCAAAAGTCAACATGGCGAACAGCTCCATGAGGTTCTCGTTCGCCGGCGGACACGTGGGCGAGGCTGGGGGGGATGGAACGCACCTTTCTGTCGGCGCGAGCGTATCCGAAGTACGGAATGACAGCAGTAATCGTTTTCGCCGACGCACGTCGGCACGCGCCGATCATAACGAGCAGCTCCATGAGGTTCTCGTTCGCCGGGGAGACACGCGCGGGAGGCGGGGGGGAGGATGGGGGAAGAAGAGAGGGAAGCGTACCTTTCTGTCGGCGCGAGCATATCCGAAGTACGGAATGACCGCCGTGATGGTCTTAGCGGACGCACGTCGACACGCGTCGATCATGACGAGAAGCTCCATGAGGTTCTCGTTGGCCGGCGGGCACGTGGGCTGCACCAGAAACACGTCGCACCCGCGCACGCTCTCCTGCAGCTGCACGTAAATCTCGCCGTCCGCGAATCGCTTCACCTTCACCCTCCCAAGCTCAAGTCCCATGCATGACGCAATCTCCTGGAAAGGGTGGGGAGACGCGGAAGGAGGGACGGGTAAGCAAGTGCGGGGGGGTGGTAAGGCATGAGAATCACCACACGTTACGCCCAACCCCCCACGCTCTCCTGCAACTGCACGTAGATCTCGCCGTCCGCAAATCGGTTGACTTTCACGCGACCCAGCACCAGGCCCATAGAAGAGGCAGTTTCCTGAAAGGGATCGGGAGTGAGGGGTGTAAGGGCGGAAGGAGAGTTGAAGGAAGAAAACTGAGTGCAAAGGGCGTGTTTTGAGCTTCGTTATGTAACTCATTCCAATTCCTAAGTGCGAACCTGAGAGAGCTGCTTGTTCGCCGTTCCTGAAAAGATCCGGAGCCGCGTATCGGAGCGGTTATCCCGGAGCGCCACCCAATCCTCGCCTGCCAGCTGTTGCCACATCACGGCGCCATTGATCTGACGTGGACCGCCGGGCCGGATCGACTGTCCTATATTCGCCGGGAGCTGCGAAATAGATGAGATAGGAGGCAGTCGCTGCCATTTCGCGGAGTTTTGAGGGGTAACGTTCTTCGCCGACGCCAGGGTTTCGCGGAGGGTAGAGGGTTGTAATGCGTGAAGCGCAGGCGGATGGGTCTGACGGAAAACAAGACCGGTTGCGGTCTGCATTTTGCTGAAGTGGACAAAGGAAAAACGGAAAAGGTAGAAACCTGATGTTCAGGTCAGGTACTCGGCTATTTCAAGGTGGGAACGGTTCTCTTTTCCTGAGATGTAACGAGGAAAAAGGTCAAACCCTCTTCGCCTCAGGATTGGAGATTAGTAAGGCAAGCGAGCGACGAAATGACGCTGACAGGCGGATCCGTAGCGTAAGCCCGCACGATGTTGAATTCGCGGCTAAAGAACCCTGCTGGAGCTAATCGAAACGTCGTGAGCCTCCTAATTTGCTAGACTCTTGAGAAGGGGAAGGGTCTAGTAAATACTGTCCAACACAGTTACACGGTGCGCTGCGCAGGATGTGTTTGGTTTGGAGTTTCACAATATGAGCGGTTTGCCCATCTCACCGTTCTAAACCGATAGTAAACCTCCTGAACCTGTCTCAGGAAGCGAATGTTGAGCTGCGATGCGCTCTCCGCGTGCAGGCGGAAAAGGGTGGAGTCCCCTCCGCCGCGGGCTGCGTCAGAATTCGCAAGAACCTGGCGGGAACTTTGGGAGTGCCGCGCGTCACGGCGTGATTGGACGTCCCGGGATATTCCCGGAAGGCCCAGGCAACTGTTGTTGGATAGCAGAGAATGGGAATCTCGATACACTTCCGGGAGTAGAAATAGAATCAAAAGGGAATCTTTCGCCAAGGCAGATGTGTAGAAAACTCAAGGCCCACTGTAAAGCGTACGTATCTGTATGAACTTGAGTGTATCACAAGTGAACATTCACCAGGCGGCACACCGCCCTGTACTTTCACTCACAGCTCAAAATTCGTTACAGGCACCCTGCTGAGCCAGCATAGAAGTCTCTGGAATAATCTGCTTCGGGAGTGTTCGCGAAAACAATTCCTCCGAAAATCTGCTTAGCGGACGCCCATTCGCAATGTCCCAAATCTCTTCGCCACTTTACATTTCCTTCGCACTAATTTCATTCCGCTCTCCAGTGTATCCCCTTGCTCCTGTAATGCTCTCTTTCTTTATGCCTGCTACCTAGTAGTCCCCACTCTCTGATTCCTTAGTCGAAATTCCTACGTGCGGTCGTCATCGCAAATACTTCCAGCCTCCCGCCTCGATTTCGGTTTGCATAGGATTTTTGCGCTTCGACAGATAGAGATTAGAAGCGGAGATATCTTTCCTTTCCGCGGTCAATTTTCCAGCGAGGAGAAACAGCAATGGCCACATCGCCATGGCCTTCGTATGGTTCGCGGAAGTTTCCGATGGGGTATTCGGACGTTGAATCCGGTGGAGGCGACGTGTTTCAGGACCCCTCTCTGCGATGGGCCTTCGTTCAAAAGGTACAAACGCTTCTGGTTAAATTCCTGATTTTTTTTTCTCGTATTAGCAGCTTCGATACAAGCACTCGTTTGCCTTCCTGGCAGAAAGGCCATCTCCCCACCCACCAATTACATCCCAGGCCTTACTATCTTGTATTTCCAGCTGATTCTGTCCTCCAGTGCTTCCTCACCGACACACATCAGTCTTGTACACTTATATGAGTTAAAAATGTCTGCTCTGCTTCTTCCTTCCCACCCAATCCAAGGTGTACGGCATCCTGTCGTTCTAGTCGCTGCTAACTATCGCAGCAGCCACAGTAGTGGTGAACATGGAATCTGCACGACTCACTCTCATGCACTCGCCTCACTGCTTCTTCCCCTCCTGTGCTCAAACCCCACTTACCAAACCATACCATACCATACCTTAATCCCAGGTGTACGGCATCCTGTCGTTCCAGCTGCTGCTGACGTTCGTAGCAGCCATGGTGGTGGTGAGGGTGGATTCAGTGCGGCTAACTGTCATGCACTCACCTCTGCTCGTCATCGCCAGCGTCATCGTCCCCTTCATCTGTAAGAACACTCCACCTCACGCCCTTGCTTCACCGCGCCTGGCTGTTCCTGCGGGTTCTACCAGCGAGGGCTGTGGTGGTGGTGAGGGTGGATTCCATGGTGGTGAGGGTGGATTCCATGGTGGTGAGGGTGGATTCCATGGTGGTGAGGGTGGATTCCATGGTGGTGAGGGTGGATTCCATGGTGGTGAGGGTGGATTCCATGGTGGTGAGGGTGGATTCCATGGTGGTGAGGGTAGATTCCATGGTGGTGAGGGTAGATTCCATGGTGGTGAGGGTGGATTCCATGGTGGTGAGGGTGGATTCCATGGTGGTGAGGGTAGATTCCATGGTGGTGAGGGTAGATTCCATGGTGGTGAGGGTGGATTCCATGGTGGTGAGGGTGGATTCCATGGTGGTGAGGGTAGATTCCATGGTGGTGAGGGTAGATTCCATGGTGTGAGGGTAGATTCCATGGTGGTGAGGGTAGATTCCATGGTGGTGAGCGTATATTCCATGGTGGTGAGGGTGGATTCCATGCGACTCACTGTCATGCACTCGTCATCGCCAGCGTCCCCTTCATCTGTAAGGACCTGTTTCCTCATGCCTTTGCTTCGCTTCGTCTATATGCTGCTGACCTTGAAAGAATGTTAACATCAGGAAATTCAGACTTAAGAAAAGCGGTAGCTAATAAATCAAGAAGAAAATTAATAGTATCTGTTATTTTAAGAACTACTTCAAGTATGTCAGGATGGCCGAGTTGGTCTAAGGCGCCAGTTTCAGGTACTGGTCTGAAAGGGCATGGGTTCGAATCCCATTCCTGACACGTCTTTTGTTGGAGTGGGACTGTTGGGTTCACAAGAAAGAGTATGGTAGGTTGGGTCCCCATCCCCTTCATCTGTAGAGACACGTTCTCTCCACCTCCTATTTTCCAACCAGCAAAGTCTCCTCCCCCCTCTCCTCCCCCCTTTGCCCCCCCACCTCCTATTTATTGTTTGTATTTGTTTTAATTTCCTTTTCTTCAAGCCCGTGGCCCAAGTTGCGGATCGCGCGGGTCAACCTTACTATTCTTGATCGAGCGTTCCTTTGGGCGTTTTTCTTGTGCGAATTAGGGTTACGGATTGTGAGAAGAGACCTGATTGGCCAAGGCACATGCACTGGTTTCGCGAAACGTGAGCAGCGGGAAACGTTCAATATTACTATCTGTGCAACATGGCTCTCTTGAAACTGAACGCGAGCTGGCCCCTGGTGTTTGCTGAGTCAGCAAGAAAAACACAGAGTGGCAAAAATCTGGGCGAAACCAACTCCAGCCACCCTCCGAGCACCTCAACTTCTTTTTCTCCACCTCCCCCAACACCCAGTGGTCATCCTTAGTAAGGTTGAACAACTTGGGCCGCGAGCTTTAATCGCCTTGTTTCAAGAATGTGCATGTCTCCCTTCATTCTTCCCAGTTCTTTCTCGTTATAGTAAAACCCCCTACCTTCCTTGTACTGGTATGTGCGCTCTCAGCCTACCACCAGCACCACCTGCTCAACCTCATACTCCTCGGCCTCATTCTCCCTCTCGGCCCTTCCCTCCCTCTTCTCCCTCTCTTCTTCCTCCCCCACCCCCCCTGCAGTGATCTGTGTGCTCTCAGCCTACCGCCAGCACCATCCGCTCAACCTCATCCTCCCCCTTCCCCCCACCCCTTCCCCTTCCCCATCCTGCAGTGATCTGTGCGCTCTCAGCCTACCACCAGCATCACCCCCTCAACCTCATTCTCCTCGGCCTCTTCTCCCTCTCCTTCAGCATTACGCTTGGCCTCTCATGCGCCTTCCTCCCAGGTAACACACAGCACGCATGGAATCAGTGCCATTTGCATCACTAGCACATGATGATTGAAACATTGGCCTCTTCTCTCCTTGAGCATTACGCTTGGCCTCTCATGCGCATTTCTCCCAGGTAACATGAGTAGTACCATCCGCGTCATCAGCACATCGTGTCAGCACCATGTACATTATGAGCGCACAGCAACTGTAGCTTTCCTCTTAATGACATCTCGGCCTCTCATGTGCCCTTCTACCAGGTAACACATTGTGTCAGTACCATGTACATTATCAGCACACGGTAAAATTAGCTTTGCCTTGGTAGCATTGTACCAAGATTGTGCCTGTCTCTCTCTGTGCTTGTCCTTAGTGTGCTGATGAAGGCCTTTGCTGGCCGAATCGCGTTCACACGCGACATCCAGGCCTAATGTGTCTGGCTCTCTGATTAGTAGACCTTTTCTCACTACTTCCCTCGCCTTTCAGATTAGTAGACTTAGTTTACAGATCGTTCTCTTAGCAGGCTTGCTGCGTTTCGAATCCAACAAACTTCAACCAAGATTGTGCCTGTCTCCCTCTCTGTGCCTGTCTCCCTCTCTGTGCTTGTCCAGCCAACATTGTGGCAATTATTCTGACAGCAATTGTGGTTTTCTCCCTCACGCTCTCTTCTCTTCTCTCTCCCCCTCCTCTCTCTGCCCGTCCAGCCAACATAGTTCTGGAGGCAATTCTCCTGACAGCAATTGTGGTCGTCTCACTCACACTCTTCACCTTCTGGGCGGCGCGGAACGGGGAAGACTTCTCCTGGCTGGGCCCCATTCTCTTCACTGCCCTTTCCATCTTCTTCTTCTCGATGATCATTCAGGTAAATGAGCGTCACTGCAGTGTTATGAGTTATGACCTGTGGTGGTTTGCTCTTTCCTGTAGCCACTGCCTTCTCCTGGCTGGGCCCCATTCTCTTCACTGCCCTTTCCATCTTCTTCTTCATGATCATTCAGGTAAGTGAATGTAATTGAGGTGTTACAGGTTATGTCCATCGCTGGTTTGCTCCTTCCTGTAGCCTATGCTTCTCCTGGCTTCTCCTGGCTGTAGCCTATGCTTCTCCTTGACCGCTGTTTCCATCCTCATCTTCTCGTTGATCATTTAGGAAAGTGACCATCACTGTATTGTTATGATCCGTGCTGTAGCACATGCCTTCTCCTGCCTGTGTTATGCAGCCATCGGATCGGAGCCATCATATTCAGCCTCTACATATTTTACGATTCCCCATCCCTTTTTCTCTCTCCCAGATATTCTTCCCCTTCGGTCCGCTCCTCAACACCATCTATGCTGCTATCGGAGCCATCATATTCAGCCTCTACATCATCTACGACACCGCATCCCTGCTCCACCGCTACTCATACGACGAATACATATGGGCCTCAGTGTCCCTTTATCTCGACATTCTCAACCTGTTTACCTTCCTGCTGGACCTACTCAACGCCAGCAACGATTAGATCAAGGGACAGGAGGAAGTGTTCGGGTGGGCTTATGGTACTAGTAACATCATCTACGACACTGCATCCCTGCTCCACCGTTACTCATACAACAAGTACATCGGGCCTCAGTGGCCCTTAATATTCACATCCTCAACCTGTTCACTTTCCTGCTGGAGCTCTTGATCGCAGCCAGGGATTAGGTGAAGGGTTAGCTATGCCTTTTTGGGAGTGCACTTTGTGTTGTATCAGTCAGTAGTGTGCTCTACGAACACCACCTGACTCCACCAGTACTCATACGACGAGTATATCTGGGCCTTTGTTGCTGTCTACCTGGATATCCTCAACCTGTTCACTTTCCTGCTGGAGCTGTTACATGCAGGCAGGGATTAGGTGTAGGGATAGCTACACCTGTTTGGGAGTGTGTTAATTGTAGCAGTAACATGCTTCAAACACTCCAGCAATTTCCTCCATGATTTCCAGCTTTAGCTCTTGCATGCCGTTAGGGTTTCGGGTAAGCAAAAGTTATTCGCTAGACCTGCTAGGGTGTCCATGTGTACATACATGCACTGCTTTCAGACCTAGCAGTGCCTTTCCTGTACGGATATTTCTCAATATCCTCAACATCCTCACCAGGGGAAATTCTATCAGGGTAAATCACCCTGATACACTGATAATCAGGGTGGTTTTTGGTAGTCACACTGATGGCCTGGGTACTTTTTTTAGGAGCTACGGTAGGTTTTCCCTGATACCAGGGTTTACATTTAAGGCACACTGATGACTAAGGGTTCCCGAATCCCATAACGAGTTTTACCCTTAAACGAGTACCTTACCCTCCCGCCCCCCAGTACCCCCACCCCCCCATTTTCCGTGACCTGGGATTCCCGATTGCCAACTGTCGAAGCCGGAATTTCGGCATTGACAACGCATGTGCTGGCACCACAGTGGGCCACCATTGGCCTTGATAAAAACTATTGACCAGGGTTTGTTATTTAAGAACACTGATGCGACAGGGTAGATTTTACAAAATTGCGGAAAACCCTGATGGAAAAGGTTTTTTATAAGGGGTCACACTGATAATCAGGTTTTTGAGCTTGTGCTACACTGATCGCAAGGGTAGGTCAAATCCAAAAATTTGCCCTGATCCTCACCCTCTGTTCCGTACTTTCCTGTGTCAGCTACCAAACGAGCAAGGACTACCAGGGATTAGCAGGAATTAGGTGAAGATACACATAAAGACCAGTTTCACTGTGCATGTCTTTCTGACCAAGCCTGGGTACACTTGTTGGGTCTCTTGAATGATGTTTAACACCAGGATGCTGAAAATGATGGTAAAACAGCATGGATACACTATGTGTCCGCTTTTCGCATGCTCCTTTATAGTGTGCTGCCTGCCAACCTAGTACCTACGATTGCAAGACGCTAGGTACTACCGTAACCTAGCAACATGAAGTGTACAGTTCACGTGCAGATGAACCACTGCCACATGGAACGCCTGTGTCAACTGCCGCATGAGACGTACACTTCACGTGCACATGAAACGCCCGTGTCAACGGCCCCATGAAACGCCTGTGTCAACTGCCACATCAGACATACACTTCGCGTGCACATGAAACGCCCGTGTCAACTGCCGCATGAAATGCAGCCATCTCTGTTCTCCAAGGAGCACGTCATCTCTGCGAGCCTGGCTTGCATCTCTGCCTCCTTCACCCTCCTCTCCTGACTCTGTTAAAGTGTGTGTGGGGGGGTGGGGAGGAAAGAGAAGGGGTAAGGGTAGTGAGTGATGGGTTATATCAGTGACACCGAGTAGCATGGCTTGCATCTCTGCCTCCTTCACCCTCCTCTCATGACTCTGGTAGAGGCAGGGTTAACGAGGAAATGGAGCAGCGGGAAGGCAGGAAAAAGGAATCGTATTTATCTGGTCATACCTTTAAAGCCAGTACCTTTTGAGTCGACTCAACAACCACCCCGTCACACTGTTACCGTTTCCTAAGTCTTCAAACTCAGAAGAGCACCTGGCAATCAAACGTCTTCTATCAACTTCCCATGAGATGCAACACCACTCTGACCTCTCACAGCTCCGCCCGCCCCTGCAGCTAAACCAAGCTGTGCTTGTGCAAGCCCAAAATAAACAGTCTGTCACCTGCCCCGCCCTGCCTTTGCAACGGGACCATACCTGTTTGGCAGCTTCTGCGTCGACTGTGAATTTGATGGCATCTGCAGCTCCCCTCGTTCTCAATCGCATTGCTTACTAATCGCTCACCTGTCAGCGCATTCAGTCCCTCCCCTGCCCTTGCAACAACAGGCCCGTACCCTTTTGGCAGCTTCTGCGTCGACTGTGAACTTGATGGCATCTGCAGCTCCCCTCGTTCTCAAATAGTACATGCCCGTCTTCAATCCCTGCACGCACGCACCAAAAATCAGCACAAATCAACAGGCATCAGGCACCACGAAGCATCACGCAACAAACAGATATGAGTTTATACAGAAGACAACAGACAACCATTTGTCATCATACACAACCACGCGCCCCACGCGACAAGAGCACTCACCTTTCCCCACGTCTAGAAGTGTAGCAATGTCAGCTTGCCATAGGAGCTGGTCGATGAACTAACAGTAGCCCCCCTCCCATGCACTCACCCTGGCATCTGATAGTAACTCCCCATCAAACGCACTCACCCTGGCATCTGATAGTAACTCCCCATCAAACGCACTCACCCTGGCATCTGATAGTAACTCCCCATCAAACGCACTCACCCTGGCATCTGATAGTAACTCCCCATCAAACGCACTCACCTTGCCCCACGTGTAGAAGTGTAGAGATGCCAGTTTGCCGAAGGTGGGAGCGTCCATGTGGATGTTGAGCGACTGGCTTTGATCGATGAAGTGACTGACAGAAATCACACCCCATGTGCCCACACACTTAGCAGTCAGTAACCCCAACAAACGCACTCACCTTGCCCCACGTGTAAAAGTGTAGAGAAGTCAGCTTGCCGAAGGTGGGAGCATCCATGTGGATGTTGAGTGACTGGCTCTGATCAATGAAGTGACAGCAGCCGGCCAGCCATTCACATGCACTCACATCACACCCTGATACCCGATAATAACCCCCCAACGATTTTTGAGGCGCCTCAAAACCGCGTGAACTGAGACGATTTTTGAGGAGCCTAAAAAATCATTCCCATGCACTCACATCACACCCTGATACCTCATAATAACCCCCCAACAGATGCACTCACCTTGCCCCACGTGTAGAAGTGCAAGGATGTGAGCTTGCCGAAGGTGGGAGCATCCATGTGGATGTTAAGCGACTGGCTCTGATCAATGAACGCCCCTCTGTCTGCTGCCATGTCCACTATCGCCCTCTGCTTCATCTCCCACACCGTCCTGTAAATCATCACCACACGCGTGACAGGTAAAAGAAGGGAAAGAGTGAGGGACGTTGGGGGCCTGTCAAGTGATCGGCTCTGGTCGATGTACGCCCCTGTCTGCTGCCATGTCCACTACCGCCCTCTGCTTCATCTCCCACACCGTCCTGTGAATCAACAGTACACAAATGACAAGTGAAATATGGAACAAGACATTATGAGTACGGGTCGTTGGGGCGTTGACAAGTGACTGCCTCTGGTTTAAGGTTTAGGGTTACCACCACCAACACTAAGGTTACCACCACCAACACTAAGGTTACCACCACCAACACTAAGGTTACCACCACCAACACTAAGGTTACCACCACCAACACTAAGGTTACCACCACCAACACTAAGGTTACCACCACCAACACTAAGGTTACCACCACCAACACTAAGGTTACCACCACCAGCCATAACCTGAATGCACTCACTTGTAGATGTCCCTTAGGCGCTGTGGAATCTCATCAATCCCCTCCACGGACCCGTTGCGGTACATGATCTCATTCTTGAGGTCGGGCGACCAGTGGTTACATGGTTACCACCACAAAACCGCACATGTCATCACCAGCCATAATCTGCTTGCACTCACTTGTAAATATCTCTCAGGTGTTGCAGGATCTCGTCAATTCCCTCCACAGACCCGTTTCGGTACATGATCTCATTCTTGAGGTCGGGAAACGATTGATTACCTGGTTACCAGCACTCTACCTGCACGTCCCACTCGGCAGCCACACTCACTTGTAGATGTCTCTCAGGCGCTGTGGAATCTCGTCTATCCCCTCCACAGACCCGTTGCGGTACATGATCTCATTCTTCAGGTCAGGCGACCACAGGCCCAGATGTGTCAAGTCGTTGAGTAAATGCTTGTTCACCACCACAAACTCGCCACTGGGGAGAAGAGAGAGAGGGCGGCAGGGAAGGGGTGAGAGGGAGTGTGATGCAGGGGCGTGTAAGGCCTGTCTGTCCCTCAGAGGCCGAGATGTGTCAAGTCGTTGAGCAGATGCTTGTTCACCACCACGCACTCGCCACTGGGAGGGGAAAAAGGGAGGAGAGAGGGGGGGGGGGAGTAGAGTGGAACAGGGAAGAAAGGAATTGCTTTCTTATGGCGTGCTACGGCTGGCAACGAGAGGCCCAAATGGGTTATGTCGCTTAGGAGATGCTCGTTCACCACCACAAATTCGCCACTGGAACAGCAATTACCTTACAGTCAATCCTGCGTACCTCAGAACTGGTCTGAAGTGTACGGCTCGAAGCACTCGTTGTTTTCCAGGATCTGACTCGTGGAAGCCGTGGGCATTTGAGTCGACTCAAAAGCCTTTGGCATGGGTGCTACAAAATAGGAATTGTTCTCACTACCATCTACACCCACACTCACCTCAGCACTCGTCTCGAGTAGATGTTGGAGGTGTACGGCTCGAAGCACTCTTTTTTTTAAAGGATCTGGCTGGTAGGAGCTGTGGGCATGGGAGCCAGCAGCAGGAAATCTCCATCACACTTACTTTACAACTAATCCCACGTACCTCAGCACTCGTCTCGAGTAGATGTTGGAGGTGTACGGCTCGAAACACTCGTTGTTCCCCAAAATTTGGCTCGTGGAAGCTGTAGGCATGGGTGCCACCAGCAGGGAGTTCCTTAGCCCGTGAGCCGCTATGTCGGCTCTCAGTGCTGCCCAGTCCCAGCGGTCTGAAGGGGTCACTCCCCACATGTCCGGTTGCAACACTCCCTGTTGTGGGGGAAACACGTGGGGCATTGGGGCATTTGAGAATTCTCAAAAGTCACTCCAATGGGGCATTGGGGCATGGGTGCCACCAGCAGGGAGTTCACTTTTGAGTCGACTCAAAAGACTTTTGAGTCGAGGTGACTTTTGAGTCGACTCAAAAGTCACCTCATTGGGGCATGGGTGCCACCAGCAGGGAGTTCCTTAGCCCGTGAGCCGCTATGCTGGTTCGCAGTGCTGCCCAGTCCCAGCGGTCTGAAGGGGTCACTCCCCACATGTCCGGTTGCAAGACACCCTGGGGGGTGTGAGGGCAATTGGGGGAGAAGGGGATAGAAAAGGAGTTGCTCCATCACCCTGTGAGCCGCTATGTCGGCCCGCAGTGCTGCCCAGCACCAGTGAAGGAGTCACTCCCCACATGTCTGGTTGCAAGATACCCTGAGGTGGTGAGGGGTGGTGAGGGGTGGTGTGGGAAGGGTGGGAAGGAGGGGCATGGTGCGCAAGTGCGCATGGGAGTGGAACCAGCAGTCACCACTTCAGGGCAAAAAGAGACTTCTCAATTTGGTGTTACTATTGAGAATTCTCAAAATTTCAGCCTAGCCTAGTCACCACATGCTCCCCAACAACATGCATCTCATCCGACCCACATTATTATATTTCCACGTCAGCAGCATACCTTGCTGACAGGGCAGCCGGGGTACGACTCGTACGTGCCTTCCTCCTTTGCCAGCTGGCACGACGTGCGGAGCGCGTGGTAGTAGATGGTCTCAAAAATATCCCGGTTCAGTTGTCGGGCCTGGTGGGTGGAGACAAGGGGAACACGGAGGATTAACAGGCAAGACAGCACAGCATGGCATGGCATGACGTGCGGAGTGCGTGGTAGTAGATGGTCTCGAAGATGTCCCGGTTCAGTTGTCGGGCTTGGTGGGTGGAGACAAGGGGAACACGGAAGATTAACAGGCAGACAACACAGCATGGCATGGCATGACGAGCGGAGCGTGTGGTAGTAGATGGTCTCGAATATGCTCCGGTTCAGTTGTCGCGCCTGATGGATAACAGTGGGCAACGTGATATAAGTGTAGTATTGAGACGTCTCAAAACAACGTGCGAAGAGTGTGGTATATGCCCTGATTCAGTTGTCGCACCTGATCGTTAGCAATGTGCAAGGGGGAAGGAGGGGAAGGGAGAGAAGGAGTTGTGAGAAAAGGACAAAGACGAATGAACGAGCTGGTATGATATGTGCAGTGAGTGGTAGTAGCTAGTTTCCTCCCATTCAACTGCTCCTGCAGTTTGCTCAGCTGGCGGATTCGCAGAAGTTGTTGGTAAAGGAGCTGCAGAGCAAGGTGGAGCGGTTGAATGGGCAGGTGGAGCAGTCAAATGGGCAGGTGTAGCAGTTGAATGGGTAGGTGGAGCAATCGAATAGGCAGATGGAGCAGTGGAATAGGCAGGTGGAGCAGTTGAATAGGTAGGTGGAGTAGTTGAATGGGAAAATGGAGGGTGAGAGGGAGAGGTGGAGGCTAAAGGAGGAACGACCGAATGCTAAAGTTGAAGAACTGCAAATGAAAGTAGAGGAGCAAAGAGAGGGTGAAAGAACAAGAGTCTTTCAACTTTAGCCCTCAATTGTTCCTCCTCCAGCCTCCACCTCTCCCTCTCCCCCTCCATCTTCCCATTCATCTGCTCTACCTACCCATTCAACTGCTCCACCTGCCCATTCGATTGCTCCACCTGCCCATTCAACTGCTCCACCTTGCTCTGCAGCACCTCTACCAACAAATTCTGCGTATTTGCCAATTGAGCAAACTGCAGGAGCAGTTGAATGGGAGGAAAGTACTTGAAAATGTGGGTAGGTGAGAGGGAGAGTAGTTGGAAGGCGGGAGGTGAAGAGGTAGAGGGGTTTCTGTGCCCCCCATACCAAACCTCGCATGTACCACATGCCTGAGGCGAGTCAAAGGGCATGCCGAGAACAATGAAAGCGATGGGCCAGCCCCTACACTTCCAGGCTGATGGGGCAGTGGCGCAAGCTGAGATGGGCCGTCTGAAGCACTTCCTTTCCCCACCTTATGTTCTCGACACAGACCTCGCACGTACCACATACCTGAGGCGAGCCCTTCCTTTCCCCACCTTGTGTTCTCAACACAGACCTCGTATGTACCACATACCTGAGGCGAGTCAAAGGGCATGCCAAGAAGAATGAATGCATCTGCCAGCCCCTGCACGCCGAGGCCGATGGGCCGGTGGCGCATGTTGGAGCGACGGGCTGACTCGGTGGGATAGTAGTTGACGTCGATGACTCTGTTGAGATTGCGTGTCACAACCTCTGTGATCTGAAGGGCGTGAATATGGGGAGATGGAAGCAAGTGGGGAACGGGAGGGGGGTGGGATAGTAGTTGACGTCGATGACTCTGTTGAGATTGCGTGTCCAAGGTTCAAAAATACGGTTTTCGTAAAAAACGGCCCGTTTTTTACGGTCCGTTTTTTACGGTAATTTTCCAAAAAAACGACGTTTTTCTGTTAGAGAACTGTTGTCACCAACAAAAAAAGGGAAAGACAAGGTCGAGTACATTTTCAATCATGCCCACAAGCGCACGCATGCAAGGAGGGGTTCGTCCTCTTCATCCTGGTACCTTTCGCCATCAATTTGGTCCCAGAAATCGGCCGATTTTTTCTTCAAACGAAACCACCCTCTGGAACCTTTCTAACCGTTTTTTACGGTCGTTTTTTACGGCCGTTTTTTACGGTAAATTATATTAAAAAAAAAAAAAAAAAAAAACGACGTTTTTTTTAACCTTGTGCATGTCACAACCTCTGTGATCAGAAGGGCGTGAATATGGGGGGATGGAAGCAAGTGGGGAACGGGAGGGGGGTGGGATAGTAGTTGACTTGACGTCGATGACTCTGTTGAGATTGCGTGCCACTACCTTCGTGATCTGGGGGTTGCAGGCAAGGGGAGGGGCAAGGGGGAGGAATGAGTGAGTGAGGACTGTGGGGAGATGGAAGCAAGTGGGGAACAGGAGGGAGAGGTGAGTGAGGGGTAGATAGTAGTTGACGTCGATTACTCTGTTGAGGTTACACGATACAAACATGCCGATCTAAGGTGGTGTGAGCATTGGGAGACGGACCCAGGCAGGGAATCAGAAGGGAGGAGTGGCTGGTGGGTGGGGTAAGTAAGACTAGCAACACGGAGCATGTTGAGAATGTAAGGGAGGAAAGGCACGGGTCATCTCACCTCGCCCAGCTTCTCAAAGTCAAAGAATCGCTGGTCGTGGTTGAGGCTTCCAGTCAGCTTGGATGGATGGGCTTCAGACGGCACACCCTGCACCACACACAGCATTAATGGCCACGACACGTAACATGCTTTTTTAGAATTCTTAAAAATAGCTTCAGACAGCACCCAATGCAGAGCAGATGGCATCAATTGGCAGGCAAGCGTGAGGAGCGAGAAACACAAGGCGTTACAGTGAGATGGGAAGTTTTTAGAGTTCAGGCTTCAAATAACAGCAACCTCTGCAGCACTTGATGGTGCCCTAATTCCCCACCACTTGATTGACTGCCCTCTAACTTCTCTCTCACTCTACTTTGCACTTCTCCCTTACCTTTTCTCGTACGAAGCGGGGAAGGGCGATCGAGACAAGGTTGCAGACAGCAGTCTCCTCTGGGCTCGTGTACTCAACAATCTCCATGCACAGGTTGCTGCACTTGATGTTGCCCACACTCCCCACCACTGCCCCACCTCACTATCCCACTTCTCCCTCACATTCTCTCCCACCACTCCCTCACTTCGGTATACCAATTCAAGTATAGGTTGCAGACAGCAGTCTCCTCAGGGCTCGTGTACCTCACTACGATTTCTGTGCACAGGTTGCTGCACTTGATAGTGCCCACACTCCCCACCACTGTGCCACCTCACTCTCCCCATCTCTACTCACCTTCTCTCGCACGAATCGAGGAAGGGCGATCGAGACAAGGTTGCACACAGCAGTCTCTTCAGGGCTTGTGAACTCAACGATCTCCGTGCACAGGTTGCTGCACTTGATGGTACCCAGATTCTGCTGGTTCGACTTGCGGTTGCACGCGTCCTGTGTGATGAGAGACAGGGAAGAGAGGAGAGGAGGTAACGACGAGGTAGTGGAAAGGAGGTATTGAAGGGAGAGGCAAGGAAGCCCTGGGCTTGGAAATGCAAAGAGGGACCCAAACAGAAAAAATAACAGCAGGTCAGCGAGTCCGACATCATGTGCTGAAGAAAACGCTTTCAGCAATTCAGGCATCACTTGGCAGTAAGGATATTCGAAATACGAGCAAGCTTTTTAGAAGCCGCAGCAGAGTAACATGTACCACCGAGCATGGAACGACCAGAGCAGAGCACACACAGACACAGAAGAGCACTCACCTTGAACAGCATGTATGGGTTGCCTGTCTCAATCTGTGCCTCACAGATGCCTTGAGTCAACTCAGAAGCCACCGTAGAGTAAACCACAGCATTACAGACCCCGCATGTAGCTCTCACCTTGAACAGCATGTACGGGTTGCCCGTCTCAATCTGTGCCTCACAAATTGCAAACCACAGCTTCTGTGACGGTATCACGCGCTTGGCTCGGCCCTGATAGTGTAAGGGAAGGTGAAGAGGATGGAAGGAAAAACGGCAGAAACTGGATTTCCCTCTCGTATCTTAGGTACAGTGCCAAATCCTCCCCCCAGTCCAATAGTCCACCAGAGAGACATGGTAGGGAGCTTTGTGTCTGCACCATAAACCCCCTCTTCACAAACATCAGCAACAACCAATCACTCACCTCCCTCTCATTGGGGCAAAAGAGCGAGGTAGGGCGCCTCAAACTCCTCCCCCCAGCCCAGCAGTCCGCCATGAAAACGCGAGTGGGCCTTGCTGCAACGAAACCACACCACAATCTTTCACACACCCTGTGTATTCACACTTTCGCTTTTTTAAAACTCACCTCCCGCTCGTATCTGAGGTACAGCGCCTCAAACTCCTCCCCCCAGCAGTCCGCCAGACCAGGAGCCTCGTTGGGGCAGAAGAGCGACCAAGGCATGTTGGACTGCGGATGGGATTGATGGGGAGATGGAGGAGAGATGTGTTGGGGGTTTAAAAAGGGGTTCATGCATCCAGGCCAGGCAGGGTCTTTGTTGAGGCAGAAGAACGACGAGGGGATGTTGAACTTGGGGGTGCGGGGTGGGGTTTGAGGGAGAAGCAAATGGGTGAATGGGAGGAAGGGAATTTGTGAATGGCAGCACCCAGACCACAGACCAGGGGCCTCGTTGGGGCAAAAATCGGTTCAACTTTCAGCTCACCTGCACATGATGCATTAAGAGATCGGGGATCCACAGACCATAAAACAGGTCTGTTCAACGGTATTCCTCAAAGTTCAAGCTAGCCTATCACTCCGCCCAGCCCACCCAGCTCTCAGCTCACCTGCACACGTTGCATAAAGAGGTCGGGGATCCACAGCCCATAGAAGAGATCTCTTGCTCTGTTCTCCTCCTTGCCGTGGTTCTTCCTCAGGTCAAGGAAGTCAAACACATCCGAATGCCATGGCTCGATGTAGATGGCAAAGGCGCCTGAATGGGAAAATCGTGGCATGCAATAAAAACAAGTTTGGTTCTTCCTCAGGTCAAGGAAGTCAAGGAAGTCAAACACATCCGAATGCCACGGCTCGATGTAGATGGCAAAGGCGCCTGAAAGAGGGAAAACAGCGGCATGCAATAACAGCAAAAAAGAAGAGAGGGATGGAACCATTAGGTGCCCTTCTCCTCCTTGCCGTGGTTCTTCCTCAGGTCAAGGAAGTCAAGGAAGTCAAACACATCCGAATGCCACGGCTCGATGTAGATGGCAAAGGCGCCTGAAAGAGGAAAACGATGGGCGCGGTGCGGGGGGAACAGCAATAACAGCAAGGGGTGGGTGGCAGGCAAACGGGGAATCAGGGAGGTGATGCGATCATGAGGTGCTCCTCTCGTCCTCCTTCCCACAGGTGGTTCTTTCTCAGGTCAAGAAAGTCAAACACCTCTGAATGCCACGGCTCGACGTAGATGGCAAAGGCGCCTGAAAGAGAGCAGAGTTGTGAGAGGGTAATAGCAAAACTGGCAAGGTTGGCTGGATGGAAACAGAAGGAGGCAAGGCAATCATCATGCATTGTGTCGTGCCATCTGGGGCGTCTCAAACATCCTCAGCATGGGCACGATGCCGTTCGACGTGCCGTTAGTAGTCCCGCGGAAGTAACCGCCCTTGGCACGAATGCAGTGTGCGGACAACCCTTAAACCCTGAACCCCTCAACCGTCTGATCCGTGAGCCCTGAACTCTAGTGTGTCTCTCACCTTTGCGCTTACCTCTGCCCTGGTCCACGTATCTCGCCGTGTCATTGAACACCCTCAGCATGGGCACTATCCCATCCGACATGCCATTCGTCCTGCAGATGTAGCTGCCCTTGGCGCGAATGCAGTGTGCGGACAAACCCCTAGACCCTGAACTCCTCAACCTTCTGAACCCTGAGCCATGAAAATCCAGTGTGTCTCTCACCTTTGCGCTTGCCGCCGCCCTGGTCCACGTATCTCGCCGTGTCATTAAAAGTCCTTTAGATCGGCACTATCCCGTTCGACATGCTGTTAGTCCCTCTGATGTAGCTGCCCTTGGCGCAAATGCAGTGTGCGGACAAACCCCTAAACCCCAACACCTCCCAAACCTCACCTTTGCGCTTGCCTCCGCCCTGGTCCACATATCTCGCCGGGTCATTGAACACCCTCAGCATCAACACTCTCCGACAAACCCTGAACCAAAAGCCTGAACCTCCACCCCTACCCACGGCCACCTCCCAAACCTCACCTTTGCGCTTGCCTCTGCCCTGGTCCACGTATCTCGCCGTGTCATTGAACACCCTCAGCATGGGCACTATCCCATCCGACATGCCATTCGTCCTGCAGATGTAGCTGCCCTTGGCGCGAATGCAGTGTGCGGTCAAACCCCGAAACCCTGAACTCCTCAACCTTCTGAACCCTGAGCCATGAAAATCCAGTGGGTCTCTCACCTTTGCGCTTGCCGCCGCCCTGGTCCACGTATCTCGCCGTGTCATTAAAAGCCCTCAGCATCGGCACTATCCCGTTCGACATGCCATTCGCCCCGCAGATGTAGCTGCCCTTGGCGCGAATGCAATGTGCGGTCAAATCCCGAAACCCCAACACCTCCCAAGCCTCACCTTTGCGCTTGCCTCCGCCCTGGTCCACGTATCTCGCCATGTCATTGAACACCCCCTCAGCATGGGCACTCTCCGACAAACCCTAACCCAAAACCAGCAACCCTTCCCCCCAACCCAATCTGTACCTTTGCGCTTGCCTCCGCCCTGGTCCACGTATCGCGCTGTGTCATTGAACACTCTTAGCATCGGCACTATCCCGTTCGACATGCCATTCGTCCCTCTGATGTAGCTCCCTTTGGCTCGTATGCAGTGTGCGGACAAGCCTATGCCGCCCGCCGACTTGCTGATCACTGCGCACTCCTTGAGCGTGTCGTAGATGCCCTCGATGCTGTCCTCCTTCATACACACCAGGAAGCAGCTGCTCAGCTGGTCAAAGGAACAGCCCAGGGGGAAGTGAGGGGCAAAAGGAAGGGGAAAACCAGGTCACTCCTTGACCGTGTCGTAATTGCCCTCGATGCTGTCCTCCTTCATGCACACGAGAAAACAGCTGCTCAGCTGGTGTGGGGAGGAATGCACGACACGGGTAGAGTAGAGGTAAGACTAGTGAGAGAGCACTCCTTGAGCGTGTCATAGATGCCCTCGATGCTGTCCTCCTTCATACAGACGAGGAAGCAGCTGCTCAGCTGCTCACAGGGGGGAACACGTGGGACAGTAGCAGGGAGGAACAAGCTTATAGGCACTCGAGCGTGTCGTAGATGCCCTCGATGCTGTCCTCCTTCATACAGACCAAGAAGCAGCTGCTCAGCTGGTCAAAGGCGGGCAATGGGGAGATAAAAGGAGGTCAGACAATGAGAGGCCACTCCTTGAGCGTGTCGTGTCGTAGATGCCCTCGATGCTGTCCTCCTTCATACAGACGAGGAAACAGCTGCTCAGCTGCTCACAGGGGGGAACACGTGGGACAGTAGCAGGGAGGAACAAGCTTATAGGCACTCCTGGAGCGTGTCGTAAATGCCCTTGATGCTGTCATCCTTCATGCATACAAGGAAGCAGCTGCTCAGCTGATGGAGAGGGGGTTCTGGGGGGGGCCAAGAGGCAAAAGGAAGATGAAAATCAGGGAACTGAGGTCACTCAATCGTGTCGTAGATGCCCTCTATGCTGTCCTCCTTCATGCACACCGGGAAGCAGCTGCTCAGCAGGTGACGGGAGCAAGAGATGAAGGGCGATATGGGGAGATACACAGAGATAGACTCATAAAGGCACTCCTTGAGCGTGTCGTAAATGCCCTCGATGCTGTCCTCCTTCATGCACACGAAGAGCAGCTGTTCAGCTGGTGGTGTGGGGGGGGAATACAAGGGTAGAGTAGAGGTAAAACTCGGGTACATACAGACAGTGAGAGGTCAATGCTTGCCCTCCATGCTTGAAGAGTGTGGGTGATGCATGAGTGAACCATTGCTGCGACATGAGGTGGTAGGTCTGCACGGCAGCCTCTATGTCCTCCTTGCGAACGCATCAATGCTCATCCCCTTGTGACCACACCAAACTGCAAGGGAATTCAGCCAGCCAGACCTACCTGAGGCCTCGGGGTGCCACTGTTGAAGAGCGTGGGGGATGCATGTGTGAACCATCGCTGCGACATGAGGTGGTAGGTCTGCACGGCTGCCTCTATGTCCGCCTTGTGAATCCCCACCGCCACTCGCATCAGCATGTGCTGCGGTCGCTCAACAACCTTCCCGTTCACCTGGCAGGAGAGATTGAGGAGACAAGGGAGAGAGGGGAGAGAAGGGGTATGAAAGTGAGAAAACGAGATGCAATACCCAGCTTGTGAATCCCCATCGCCACAGCAGCACGCGCTGTGGTTGCACCACCACCATGCATTGCCTTCACCTGGAAGAGAACTACTGAGAGAGATGAAACGATGGTGGGAAAACGGAACCACTGCACAAGTGATAACATTCAGCAGGCATAGGTCCAACCAAAGCAAATCTCACCTTGAGCCGCCCACTTTCCTTGCGCAGCCCACTTACCCTGAGCCGCCACTTATCTGGAGCAGCCCACTCACCTTGAGCAGGTAGGAGCGTTCGAGGGTCTTAAAGCCAAAGTAGTCATAGTCGAAGTCCCGGTCGTATATGACCTCGCTGTCTAGCCTCTCCCTTCCCTGCGCCCTTCCATGCACAACTGGCTAACTGGGTGGGAGTGTCTAACCTTGAGCAGGTAGGAGCGCTCGAGGGTCTTAAAGCCAAAGTAGTCATAGTCAAAGTCCCGGTCGTATATGACCTCGCTGTCTAGCCTCTCCGCATGCTGGTGGGTGCCGAAAGGTGGATCGACGGAGGAAAGGAGAAAACATGCCGTTAAGCATGCAGTTATGCACAAAGAGGTTGCATGGAGAGAACAAAAGGAGACGAGAGAGAAGTTACACGCAGCTCATGCTCCCTCTCTTATAGTAACAAGCATAGAATTGTGTCAATCAAGGTTGACCTTCATTCTTACCTCCTAGCAGACTCTTTCTCACCTTCATGATAATCTCGTAGACGTCATCTGCGATCAAGGGTGCGGGAAGCCCTGACTCCTGGTTCACATGCGCGTACATGTCCTTCACCCTGCATACCAGAGCAGAGAGGCATGGCATGGAAGGTGCTCAAACATTCGATCACGGGTGAGTGAGGGTAGCCCTGATTCCTGGTTCACATGCGTGTACATGTCCTTCACACTGCAGAGGCATAGAGACATGGCATGGCATGGCATGGAATGAGGCGTTCCATAAATTATGATCAAGGGTGCGGAAAGCGCTGATTCCTGGTTCACATGCGCGTACATGTAAGTCACACTGCAGAGAAGAGAGGCATGGCATGGCACGGAACTTAAGATACATCGCACATTGCGATCAAGGTGGCGGGCATATCTGCCTCTAATACTACCAGTCAGTCAGTCTAACCAATCAAAACGCACGTTTCAGAGAACGACTTCTTTGTCTTCTTGTGCAGGTTGGAGACTGCAATACGCGCAGCCAGCTGCGGGTTCAGGGTTTAGGTTTCGGAAAGTGAATGGGGAAGGAGTGAGAGAGGAGGGCATATGTAACAGAGTGGGAAAGACAAAATAGGATGAGGAAAGATGCTTGTTCAGAGTAGCAGCAAAAGCTGCGTTTGAGCTTGCAGGCGGAAATAATTGCATTGAGACCAACGCGGCACTGCACAGCACATTTGATAGAGAGACTCAAGAAGTCAAATGGACTCACACGGACCATAGCAAAAACGAGTTGGAATGACGCACTGTGCTTCACATGAATTAAGATTGACAATTGACTCAATAAACCAAAAGATTTTACTCACAAGAGCGTAGTCTGGGTGGGTGGCCGTCATTCCCGCTGCGGTTTCAGCTGCCAGCTCATCGAGCTGCGCTGTAGTCACACCCTTGTACACGCCCATGCACACCTGGGGATATAAATAGACCATCAGAAGGTGACAATAAAGAAATCGCCTTTTTTGTGTTAAGGATGATCACCAGACGCAGGACAAAGAGTGATTTGCTCTTGCAACGTTCCAAGGATGACAGTGAAAGAGCAAAAAGGTGACATTGAAGGGGTGATGGCCGCAAGGTGACAATAAAGAAGTGATGGCAGCAAGCGACGCGAGTGGATAATCCACCAGATTAAGGAGCTTTATTTGGTGCATCCGAAAAACACTGCTTAGCCAGGGAAGGTTCGTACCTTCTGATCCTAAAAGCGACTGCTTATCCCGGGGACGGCTCTTACGTTCTGATCCAAAAAGCGAATCCGAAGTATGGCTCGCACCTTCGGATCCTTAAAGCGACTGATTATGTAGGAGATGGCTCGTACCTTCTGAGCCACTAAGACGGGATCGCAGAATTCCGTGCTGAGACCGTAGCTGAGCTTCTTCAATCGAGCGGTGATCTTATCGAAGTGCACGGCCTCCTTCCGGCCGTCGCGCTTGACAACGTACATCGCGAGGAGAACGCGAAGCCTTGGTGTGAGACCCCTTATAACGCGAGCAAACGATATCGAATGAGCTCTTTTAAGTCGCTGTAACCGCGGAATGCAGCACGCGACAAAAGGAGTTAATCAGGACTGAACGATGCTTTGGGGCCAAAGTGAGCGCAACAGACGCAGGACGAACGGTGTCCCACGATCTGGGTGTGAAATATGAATGTAGTGAACGCTCCGATATCAGGGAACTACAGCCGTACAATGGAGGCCTTTCACTGGGAGTGAGGGAGACGGCTAGAAGACGACAGTAGTCGACGTGGCGAGTCGCAAGCTGGTGCCACGACAACGCCAGGCTATTATAGGCCTGGTAAATAGCCTAGACAGAATGATCCTGAACCAGGCCCAAAGCGCCTTGTAAGCGCTTTAATGAGAATCCAAAAAAAGGCTTCCCAACAGGTCAGGCTAATTAGGATCGGTAACTGGTCTACCCTAGAGACTGATCCAGAGACAGACTCAAGCCGTCGCCACCAGTGACGATGCTTCGGCTCTGGCTGGAACGCCAAAACCTCACTCACACGCACAACGCGAGTTTGTGAACAGAATGTGTGGCTTTTAGAAATGCAGTTTGAGGAAACAGCGCCGAGTGTTGGGTTCTAATCGAAGCCACTAAGTGGTGGGGCAGCAAGGGACCGAAACGCATTAGGCTACACCAACGAACCCCTGAACGACGACGCATCGGCCATGGATGATCATCTTGATCAAAGCCCCTGAACACCCCCGACAAATCTCGTGGTGCTTGAAGGAAAAACCTCGAGATTTCCCGTCGGACATGAAGGGTGACAACGCAATCGTTGCCGTTGGATGCGTGTTTTGGACGGCTGGATGCGCCCGAATTACTACAGCAGGCGCCTTCCCCTTTTTGTTTCCGCATGACCCCCCTCTCCAAACCATCCGCCTCGGCTCTTGCTCGCCTTTGGACGTGGTTGCGTGTGGGGAAAATGGAGATGAATTTTTGAACATTTGCAAGCTTGAATGTTGAAGTGGATTCGGACGATGATTGGTTCGTGCCTATCCAGAGGCAAAAGTTTGGGTGCGATCATCCCTGCCTGTGTGCCATGAGAGAGTATCGTCACCGTGAAGCCATCTCGGACAAAAAAAATCCGTTATGCAACAATGTTACGGGTGCAATGAATCGAAGTAGCGAGAATTGCACTAAGGTGTCAAACGAGTACAAAATGTGAGCGAAGGCATGAGCGAACATTTATACGCGAAACATGCAAAACGGTAACGCGGTGCGTGCGAGCTTGCTAGTGCTACGCTGGAGCGAGGCTCGGGCTAGTCCCGAAGCGTAGGCCGATACGGCCATGCCAGCAGTGCGAGGTTTGGCAAAACAGTGCGCGCGAAGTCGGCGAACCCCCGTTAGCAGTAACGGGCGAACAATCGGTTGTTGCTGTACGCGATGTAGTCGGCTCCGTAAGGAATGCCGAGAAAATTCCTTACACTACCCCCCCCCCTTAAGAAGCCCCCTCCGCTACGCGAGTGCGTGTATATCGCGGAATCCCCGGCTCCTCAGGTACACTTGCAGGGCAGAGTGGTTTTCAATGTTGGGCAGGGGCACCCAGCTGTCTTCAGTTGGCGTGCGGTCCTTCCAGCGAACGAGGAATTCAATCCTCCTGATTCCCGTGGGGTGGCGGATCCGACGGCTTAGGATTTTTTCGGGCTCGAAGATTGGCTCCGATGCAGGGCGAGTCATTGATTGTGGGCGGTGACGCGGCAGTTGACTTGTGGTCGGGATGTATGGGCGAAGTAGGCTGACGTGGAACGAAGGGCTGATGTACCAGTCGGTTGGCAACAGTAGGTGTGCGGTGACGGGTGTGATCATGTGACTGATTTGGAATGGTCCACAATAGCGCGGTCGTAATTTCGGTACGTCGGGCAGTCGCAGATTTTGCGTGTCGAGCAGCACGTAATCTCCAGATTGGTACGTGACAGGGCGGCGGTGGCGATCAGCGTTGCGCTTAGCGATGACGTTGGCCTTTTTTATAGCTTCGGCGGCTCTGGCGCGGGCAGCTTGCAGGACTTCGGCGAATTGTTGTGCACGTGGCGTTGGGTTGTCCGGACTCGGCGTCATGGGCACTGTGGGGTTTTGCCCATAGTTCAGGTAGAACGGGGACTGCTGCGTCGTGGCTGGTGTGGCGTTGTTGTACGCGAACTCGATCAGCGGCAGCTGCTGCTCCCAGGTCGTGGGGTCGTCGCACGTGGCACGAATCAACTGCTCCATCGTCTGATTCGTCCGCTCCGTTTGGCCGTCGGTCTCGGGGTGGTACGACGAACTGAACTGTAGCCTGGTCCCGAACTGCTCCCAGAGGTTCTTCCAGAAGTTGCTGGTAAACTTCGTGTCCCTGTCGCTGATAATTGCTGGTGGTATCCCGTGCAGGCGAACAACGGTTGCGATGAACAGGCGAGCGGTCTCCTCGGCTGAGATCGACTTTTTGCACGCAGCGAAGTGTGCCATCTTCGTCAGCCTATCCACGACGACCATCACCGCGTCGTTACCCCCAGGGTTCGAAGGTAACCCTGTGACGAAGTCCATGGTTACTTGCTGCCAGGCGCGTTCGGGCGGTGGGATCGGCTGCAATTGACCCGCCTTCCGCTTCCTTGAACTCTTTATCACCTGACACGTAGGGCACGAGCCCACGTGCTGCTGTACGTCGGTCAACAGCTCCGGCCAGTAATAGTACCGCTGCAGTTGCTGTCGTGTTTTTTCTACCCCGAAATGTCCCGAGGTAATCCCGTCGTGTGCCTCCTGCAGCAGCAGCTCCCTCAGTAGTGAGTACGCGGGTACCCAAATGCGGTTAGTGCCTGTTTTTACGTAATAAACTCCTTTTGCTTCTGCCAGTTGCTGTGAATTTCCGGTCGTGAAGAATGGGTCGGTGCGGTATCCGTGGGTGAATAGGCCAGTTAAAAGCGGGTTGGTCTGGGCGAATAGGATGGCGTGGAGTTGGGCGGTGGGGCGGGTGAGAGCGTCGGCGATGTTGGATGCGCCTTTTTTGTACGTAACGGTGAAGTGAAAATTGGACTCAAGATAGTCCAACCAGCAAATCTGTCGTGGGTTGAGATTCGGTTGGGCGCGAAGGTACTGTAGTGAGCGGTGGTCTGTCCGTACTGTCACGTCGGCGCCAGTCAGGTAACACCGCCAAACTTTGAACGCGTGCACGATCGCCAGCATTTCGCGGTCGTGTATCGGGTAGTTGCGTTCGGGCGGGTGTAGCTTGCGGGACTCGTACGCGATTGGCTGGAGGCCGTTCCCGATGTCCTGCAACAGTACTGCTCCCACAGCGATGTCACTTGCGTCGGTGACGAGCTCGAACGGACGGTGGGGATCTGCGATGTGAAGCACGGGCGGGGAGCACAAAATATTTTTGAGGGCCGAGAAGGCAGCTTGCTCTTTCTCCCCCCACGTGTACTCAACCCCCTTCCTCAGCAGGTCAGTCAACGGGGCAGTCAGCTTCGCCATGTCGGGGACGAACCGGCGCACGTAGTTGACGAACCCCAGGAAACTCTGCAACTCGGTCAAGTTGGTCGGCGCGTGCCAAGCCTGAATCGTCGCAATTTTCTTCGGGTCTATTTCCACTCCTGCAGCTGAAATAACATGTCCCAAAAACTCCAGGCGGTCCTGTAAAAACTCACACTTAGATGCTTTGGTCAGTAGGCGATTCTCACTCAGGATTTTAAAAACTGCTTCGATGTCTTGTAAGTGCTGTGCTCTGTCAGGGCTGTAAATCAGTATGTCGTCCAGATAAACGATAACGCACTTATCTAAAAGTTGGCGGAATGCTTCGTTCATGGTCATTTGGAAAGTGGCGGGGGCGTTGGTCAGCCCAAATGGCATGACAGTGTATTCGAAAGATCCGTAGCGTGTTCGGAATGCGGTTTTAGGACAGTCGGGTGGGTTGACGCGGATTTGGTGGTAGCCTCCTCGGAGGTCGATTTTCGAGAAAACCCGAGCTGTGCGCAGTTGGTCGATCAATTCGTCAGCTCGTGGGATAGGGTAACGAGATTTGATGGTAACCCTGTTCAGTGCTCTGTAGTCTATGCACATGCGAAATCCCCCGTCCTTTTTCGGTGTGAACAGTATTGGTGCGGCGAAGGGCGACGAGCTAGGGCGAATGATTTCTTTCTCGAGCAGGTAATCGAGCTGCTTCCTTAGTTCGTCTAGTTCGGGTTGGGTCAGTCGGAACTGTCGCTGTACTGTTGGCTGTGCCCCCGGTTCCAGGTCTATCCTGTGATCGTGCGGTCGCTGAGGTGGCAGTCCAGTCAGTAAGTCATCCGGGAAAATGTCACTGTATCGTGTTAACAGTGCTGCCAGATCACTCGGTACGTCGGTCAGCAGTTTCTGTAAATCCCCTCCCTTGTCTGCTGCCTCGGCTTCCCGAATGTCAACCGCGTACACGTCAGCTCCGGCCGCTACAGCGCGTTTCATCGTGGTCGCATTGACACGCACCGACGAAGACCCAGGCGAGCCCCAGCGAGATAAGGCGATGTTGTTACCGTTCACTCGCACGGTGCAGTCACCCGTCGTCCAGTCAGTTCGCGGATTGTGTCGTCGCAGCCAATCACGCCCGAGTAAAATGTCGGTTCCGTCGAGGGTCGTTGCGAGCATTTCCTGGCTAAACGTGAAGTTACCCCCGCATCGAATCCGAACTCGGTCTACGCGTTCCCGTATTGCCAGCGGCGTGCCGTCTACCAGTCGTGCGTCGATCTCAGGTAAGCATCTGTCCAGTGGCAGTCGCAGTTTCCGTGCTGTAGCAGTGTTAATGAGGCTGTGGCTGGCTCCCCCGTCTACGAAGATTTTGTCAGAACTTATAGCTTACTTGTTTCTGTAGGCTATAGTGGGGTATCCCATAGGGGGTACAACCCAATTAGGGTTTCCTATTTGTACTCACTTCGTTCATAGTCATTCCATTCTCGTTCTTTGTTTTCACATGGAATCAGAGCAGGTTCCCTCCTAGGGACTG